ATAATTGTGTCGAATCGATCTATAGTTTTATACATTTTTGGCTCCAAATGATTATAGAATGTGCCCCTGAAGACAGGCCAATACATCGCTGGACATCTGTATAAATGCACTTGCAAAGTGGTATCCAAGAATAACTATTGTGGTGCAATAGTATTATCTTCATTCAGAAGGAAAAATAATATTTATGCAACCAAATAATGGGAAAATTACATATAACTGTTTAAAACAAATGGTCTGCAAAACAGGCTGGGAGAGGGGTGGATAAAAAAAACATAAGATATTACTTAATGATGAACATTTCTTATTTTTATGTTTACTGGTATAACTAAGTATCTAAAAATCTAAATATTTAAAACCATAACATAATTTACATTGTAATGCAACATTCTTCTGTTGTTTCTACAGGATGGTCCAAAAGTCTCCATACATACGGAAAATTAAACACTTTTTAACAAAATGTAAAACAACACCGATCACAGTGGCCATGGTCTGAGGCTTGAAATGTCTTTGCCTGCTCTGACACTGCGATTGTGGGTTCGAATCCTACTGAAGGCATGGATGTCTGTTTGTTCTAGGTAGCGGCCTTGCAAAGGGCTGATCCCCCCATCCAAAGAGTCCTACTGTCTGTCTTAGATTAAGAAACTTAGGTGAAATGAAGCATTTCACGGATTCCCTATTCTCAAAGCAGCAGCAGCAGCAGCAGCAGAGGAAGAACAACAACATACAGAAATCATTCTGATGGCCGGGTCAGAAGGCTGTCCCAAGTTTGCATTGGATTTTAAGAGGAAACATGGCAAGAACATTACACACACAACACTATTGCCAAACTTACTGAGAAGTTTAAGAAGACTGGAAGTGTTACAGAGCAACTGAGAAGTAGTTTTCCATGTACATCAACTGATGAAGGTACAACTGACATGGTGCTGGGTGCATTTGCAAGGAGTCCCCTAGAAAATCACACAAAGGTTAGCTGCAGAAAGCAGTGGCAATTGAGTGAGTATCACACACATTTTGAAAAGTCACAAATGACATCTATACAGAATGCAACTGTTGCTGCATCTTAGTGAAGACAACCCAGATAGATGGAGGGAATTTTGTGAGTGGGTAGTAACCCAATTGGACGGTGACCAAACTTCCCATCTACAATCTTCTTTATTGTTGAAACCAAGTTTTTCAATAATGGAGAAGTTAATCACCAAACTGTACCTTATTGGAGTGATTCTGACCTGCACTGGATGATGCAGTCAAAGATGCAGAGTGCTGGAAAACTGATGGTGTGGTGCAGGATTTGGGGAAACAGAATTGTTGGACCTGTTTTCTTTGACACAAATCCTAATGCTGAAATATGTCTGAACATTCTGCAAGACGCAATCATGCCATCCCTGCTATATGAGGATGGAGAATTGCCAGAAAGATGGAGTACCACCCCATTATGGTATCTGCAAACCGTGATAGTTGGGCAGCAGTTTCTGGGATCCTGGAGTGGCCTCTGAGGTTCCCAGACCTCAGCCAACTTGATATTTATCTGTGGGGATATTTGAAAGCCATGGTGTACCAGGAAACACTAATCACATAAATGAACACATTCGAAATGCAATTTTATGCAAAACACCAGATGTATTAATGCGAGTTCACCAAAAATGGGAAAATCGCAATCATGGGTGTTTTGAAAGTAATGGCAACCATACTGAGTAAGACATATATTTTGTGAATAAACAGATTTAGTTAAAAAAATGTTAATTTTCCTTATGTCTGGAGACCTTTGGACCACCCGGTATAATTGAGGTGTTTATTACACAAGTTACATATCTTCATATTAACATTGAGGTTTTCACAGCAGTCACTATGAAGCAGTCTTCTGGGATGTGGCGCTGTGTAGATATTGTTAACCGACGTTTCGGAGGAAAGTATCGCCTCCATCTTCAGGGTAGAAGAAAAAAGAAGAAAATCCGCAGCAAGCGAAGAATCAGCGTGAGCAGGTGCAAATAGACTTTTGTTTATTTTTCTTCTTTCTTCTACCCTGAAGATGGAGACAATACGTTCTCTGAAATGTCGGTTAACACAATATCTACATGGCGCCACATCCCAGAAGGCTGCTTGCTTCATATTAACATGTTTTCAGAGGTAATTTTCAAGTTTATTTTTATTTATGTTTATACATAGCTAATAAATCTCTCCGCACTGTATTTGGGCAGTTTCTAAAATGAATCCACTACATAAGTTATTTCAGTACCATTCAAATTCCTGTCTTGTTAAATAGATTTTAATACTGATGTATATGAAAATTTAAATTAAAACTGACAGGTACTTATTAGAAATACTCAGATACAAATTAACAATTGTTGAATATTCAAGTATTTCGTGCCAAAGCAACAAATTTTGCCAAAAGTCTGTGACTGCTGAATCAAACTTGGTGATCCTTTAGGTCGGTATGACATAAATAAAAGTACAAAGTATTGTGACATGAAAGCTAGAAGAGGCAGCTGTTGCTTGGCAATGGCTCAATAAACACTTGTTCATGGCAATGGATATACATGCAACAATAGACGAGTTGTTGGAAATGTTTTCTCCGCGGTTCATGCCGAGGTTATATAACAAGAGCCTAGGGGCAAGTTGTGGTCACACAGGCACCACAGATATATGGCAGAAAGTTGTGGCTCCACCCCAGTGCAGGAGCATCTGCCACAACAGGAAATTCGGGGAACAGGTCTGTCAGTACAGGTTCCTAGTTCAACTGTGACTTGTTCTAAGTCGCCACTGTAGTGCAACACATCATGACAGATGTGTCATGACTGAAGTTGTGTCAGAAAAAGACAAATTAATGGTCACTACAAAAATGGTAGTCATGGCATTTAATGTAAATGGCATTTGGAGGCAGTTCTATGAGCTCAGTAAACAGCTGCAAGATTCACATACACATGTGGCTCTGCTCTCAGAGACACAACTCAAAGTATCACTTTTATCGGAATGACCGCTTCCTGGGAAGAAAAGTCATACCCCCATAATCATACAGACCTATGCCATATGTGTGATATGTACACTTGACAAAGGCAAAGCCTCTTCTTAAGAGACAAACCCATCTTCTCATCAGAGAATATGTTATGTAGGTTGTACCGAAAGTCATGAGCAACTTTTTTTTTTGCATGCAACCTGGGAACAGCAGACGAAAGAGAGTATGGTGGTAGGTGGAACCAGCTGTTGTGTTAACCTTGAGGGTCTTGTGATGTCAATAGCTTGCATCATGTGACCAGTATCACTCCTAACAAAATGGCTGACAATGATATGGTGTTTCGCCAGCGTGCTGTCATCAAATTTCTTGTGAAAGAGGAAATCCCTGCTGCAGAAATTCACCAGAGACTTCAGCGTGCTTATGGAAGTGTGTGCATGGGTGCGAGCAGTGTTCGAAGATGGGTGAAACATTTTAAAGATGGGAACACCAGCACTGAAGATGAGCTTCGAACAGCCTCAACTGAATGCAACAAGGAAAAAGTGGACGAGATCATTCGAGATGACAGGCATGCGACTGTGGACACAATAGCCCGAAAACTTGGAATGGGACACAGTGCAGTACAGGAGATGATTGAAAGCTTGGGCTATAGGAAAGTTTGTGCTTATTGGGTCCCGCGGTTATTTACCAAAGACCACATTGGAAGCAATTGCAAAGATGGGTTGGGAAGTTCTTCCACACCCCTCCTATAGCCCTGATCTGGCACCCTCTGACTACCATCTTTTCAGATTTGTGAAGGACCAGCTGCATGGAAAACGTTTTGAGACAAGGGAGGAAATTCAGAAAGCAGTGTGTCAGTGTCTTTGGATGGCTGGAACGGAATTTTACAGAAGGGGAATTTTCAAACTCCCATAACGCTGGGAGAAATGTGAACAAAGAAGTGGCGATTATGTGGAAAAATAAAGAAATGTCTATAGATTGAGGTGGTTATTTGGTTTGTCAATAATAAAGCATATTACTTTACAAAAAATTGTTGCTCACGACTTTCAGTACGACCCTTGTACATAAGGTCTATGACTACAAGTGTTCAGTTGGCGAGAAAAAAATCCCTGATTGTGAGCCTCAACGACCTTGGTGCCAAGATCAACTGATTGGCAGTAAACTGCGAGTCACAAAGTTAACTCTGACTCTGAAAAAATTATGGTCATGAGATCCTTGGGACTTGGAACCAAGAATGACTGTGCTGGTGAGGACCAGCAGTAATTTAACCGACTGACTGACATTCAGTTCAGTTGTGGCTAGGAGGTCGTGAGTTGCATTTGAGAGATTTGTAAGCTGGTAGTCTGCCAGCAACAACAGGAGCACAGACGCAAAGGAGTTGCATTGTTAGTCGCCACTACCAATATCTTCACTATTGTTGTGTGACATGTAAGCAGACTGTTGCCTAACGATGGTCCGCCTTTTTATCAAGCCGTTACCTAGGCGCAGACAATTTTTCAGTCATGTCACAGTCATATGACTCAGTAGTTTTGAAGACAGAGTATGCTGGCAGTTTTTGTGTTGACTTTGGAAGCAGTATTTGATACAATATTCTGTATCATTTAATGCTCCTTTAATTTAATTTTCTTTCCCACTTCATGTCAAAGTGTAAACAACTGTACATATGCATTTGTTTTCTATTAAATACTTCTGCCATAGGCAAATATTTAGCAGTATCATTACAAAGCAGTATTCATCATGGAAACAATTAGTTGTAAGGAATGAAAACGGAAAGCATCCTGTCAGCCTCCTGATGTACTAAAAATAATAAGATTTATGGAACCGTTGTTTTCAAACAGCACAGTAACAACATTTGAAGTACTTTTTGTAAGTAGTAAATAATAAAAAAATGGCTGCATTTTAGTTAACTATGCTCTATAACTGAACGGGGCAAATTTATGTGACATGCCTTTTCAGCACTAAAAACATCTGTATGTGGAACTATTGTAAAGCGTCAAAGGAAGGACTTTCATTCTTTTTACCTCATGTAGACTGAAAATTAAAAATTTAAAAGTACTGTCTGATACACTAACAGTTTTTATTCTAATAGAATCTACATAACTTGTATATTAATTATGCCAGTAAAGCTTAAGGGATGAATATTTCAGAATAAATCTCAGTCATATATATTTACAAAATTCTAGATAGAACATCATATCTTGAACACTTCTGAAGGTAATTTGTCCCTGTACTTAATCTAGTACAAGGCCATGAACATGTGGGAGAGTAAGTCATATCTCCATGTATTCTTAACCTTCACATTAAATGGAAGTTCTGCATAACTTAAATCAGATTTGCCAACCTTAATTGAACTGGCTAACACTAAAATGGTTAACACATACATTACCCGACATATTATAAACGCAATAAAATAAAATAAAACAGAATCGGCGAGCAGTATTATTCAATATAAATATGAGCACCATTGTTCCTGGGAGTCAACTCATAATGTTTAAGACCTTTAAAATGAATTACATTGTCTTCACTTCATTCCTGATCACTTGCTATTCAGCAGTTCTGCACATAACATTTAATACACAAGGTAACAAAATTTTAATCGGAGTGCTTTGACTTGTGCCAATCAAGGTGGGATTTAAAACTGAAACTTTTCCCACACAATAAACATTCGTAGGGCTTCTCTCCAGTATGTAATCTCATGTGGTCCCTTACATACCACTTGACATTAAATGATTTATTGCATACTGGGCAATGTGTTTTCCCTTCCCTGTGCACAGCAACATGTTGGGTGAAATATGATTTTGTTGTGAAGCCTTTACTGCATATGGTACACTGGTACGGTTTCTTGATAAGATTATCCTTTTTAGGAGAAATTCTCCCTGTGGCAGTGTCACTATGCTCTTCCTTTATCACGGGGTGCCCATCTTTATGAAGCAATGCCTGAGGAACAATTTGGGAGGAACCCTCACACGTAGCTGCAATATACGCATACGATAGCGTAGTCTGTGTACTCTGAATAGTGGTTTCAGGAACTGGTAATGAGGATGTCATAATGGCAATTTCACGTTGTAATATCACTGAACAAGTGAAAATTCCCCTCCTCAGAAGAAGGAAATTATCTTCTAGTTTCCACTTCCTAAAACCAAGTTGTGGCTAGGGGTGCAGTTGTCATGGTGAAGTCACTCTAGCACCCAACTCTTCTTCTTCTTATATTATTCCTGCATCCTACAATTTAGAAAAAACAACCACTCAACACTTCTCAAACAAACTTCATGCAGTTCACTCTGTCCACTTATTAAATACGTAATTAATTTTAGTATGTGTACTGGAGGAAACAAACGAAAAAATGCATATATATTTATATTCTACTTAAATTCACTAATAAATTGGAAGTTCACATTAATGATAAACTGAAAAATTTATATTCAAGTTTTTTCTAAAGCAAAATTCTTACATACAAACTTTTTATGACATTACTAGTCACCATTAGTCTACAAAAATCTTTCAGTTTTTTAGTGTCACGAATAAAAATTAAAACTACAAATTATTGGGTATGCGGTGGTGTAGTTGGTTGAGGCATGATGCTACAAGCTGGAAGGTCGCGAGATTGAATCCCTATGAGGTGGATTTTTTCAATTTACCTAATCCTTCCAGCCACATTATGGCCCTGAGGCTGACTCAGCCTCTAACAGAAATGAGTACCAGGAATATTCCTGGGAGTATAGGACGGCTGGCGCATAAGGCTGACAACCTCGCTGCCATCTGTGAGCCGATTGTCTAGAAAATGTGGGAGCATCAACGTCTCACAACCCTATAGGCCTCCATGGCCTGTTACAGGGATATCTTTACTTTTTTTTTTACTTTACTGTACACATTATAATTCACCTAATGAGAATGCACATAAGTAAAGAAAAGAAGTGTGCATGAGAAATCTGTTATGACAGAAACACAGATGAGGTTTGAGGTTTTCAGTGGTCAAACTTTAGACTATGGTCCTCCAGGTGACATCATGCAGTATGTATAGACCCACGTTTTCTTGACCTAGGCACTAGTTGGAGGTGAGTCTAGTAGTTAACAAAATCTTACAGGAATGTGCAGTAAAATTTATGGAGGATATTACATGATATTGTAACCCAGAAAATCACAGTTTAAATACTGTATATATATATGTTATATTAAAATCTCTGATTTAAAATGGGTACACACACATATGGACTTTGCAAAAGACCCTTTCTGTAAGCAGTTCCTAACAGAATCTTCTTACCATATTAAGGTAAGCTTGTCCCGTGCTCAATTATACAACATTCCATAAAAACACATATATTGGGGAATGGAAAGCTGTATCCTCATATTATCCTTAGTACCAGACAGAGGTGTATCGTATTAATTTATGTTAAACTCTTTGACCCTGATTGCGTACATACGCAGGGGCTGTAAAAAGAAACCTTTCTACACCAAGTTCTCAACGGGCACTTCACACAGTAGTACAACAAAATTGCTTAGAATCAGTTATGTAGCTTGCACTTAAAATATTTAGCAGTGCTCGGAGAAAAACTATATGGAATGGAGTAATAATGCTGTAACCACCTTACATAGTTTGATTAGCAGAACATAATAAAAACAGAAGAATATGAGGACTTAGCAACAGAAACATAAGCAGCCATTCAACTAGCCTTAAGGAGTTGTCTGATTGTGAAGAAAGCAGTCTTCTGGGATTTGGCACCGTGTATATGTGGTGTTAACCGACGTTTCGGAGGAACGTATCGCCTCCATCNCTGATTGTTTGGAAAAGCAAAGGACCTATATTACCTATAAACAAGAACGTTACTAGCAAGGATTAAAAAGAAACAAAATGAATCCTGACTAAAATGATATTAATTTTTTATGATCTCTTTCTTATAATACAAGAAAGGGGGGAAGTAACCTTTATTCCACATACTACTTCAGAACCTCAAGGGTGTGTTTTTAATACTTATTTACTTCATGCTGATAATAACCAAAGAAGAGTTCTATCATCTACAGTATAACACCCTACAGTCCACTGAAAGTCAACCACTTTGGAGGAATATTTCGCCTTCATCTTCAGGGTTAAAGAGTTGAGCAATATGTAACCCCAAAACATTGGCTGATTTTCCACTGACTGTATAGTGTTATATCCCAGAAGATAGAACTGTTTACAACCACTGTTGTGAGAACTTCAAATCATAAATAATGGCCTGACCTGACAAACCACCTCACTGACCATACTGCCTTCTGGCACTACCTTCTTGTTGAAAGTTATGTTAAGAGGCTGACAATCCTGATAACAGTAGGGTCTTCTATAATGGATGACCTACTAAGCTATTATGCCTGCTCACACAGAAGCTTTATAAAACTGGTACTTCCAACAGTTTGGAACAATGCATGATATTCATGATGCTTCCGAGGAGAGTGACCACCTCTGTGGTCAGAGTTCCTGGCTACGGACGCAGAGGTCCCAGGTTCGATTCCCAGCGTTATCAGATTTTCTGAGAAGTAGTGGGTCTGGAATGGGGTCCACTCAGTCTTGTGAGGATAACTGAGGAGCTATTTCAAGGAAGTAGCGGCTACAGTCTAGAAAACTGAGATTAAAGGCCATGGGAACTGTTACGCTGACCACGTGACACCCTCTATCCACAAAAGTTGGCACTAATTTCATTGACAAGCAGCAGTCTCTCAGTCGGTATAGTTTTCTTGCGGACTAAGACCACAGAGTTTATTTTTAGTTTAGTTCCGAGGGGAGTATACAATGAAGGCTGTATGTCAACCTGTAAAACCTTTTCTTCAAGCTACTTCTTCATTTTGATGGACTGTAGTAAAAGTGCAATTTTATAGAGGTCACTGTGGCATACTTTTATAAATTCATACTTTCAGTGATACCCTAGGAAATAAATGTTTATGATCAATGATCTGTGACTTTCATATCAAAGGTTTCATATTTGAGACTGACCAGATTTACTGTTCTGCATATTCTGCTCGTTCTTCACATAAAATAAAGAAATGCAAATGCTTGGAACACCAGGATTTTTCCACGGTTTCATTCCGCCAACTGCCTTATCACCACCAGTACTATGAAAATCCACATACACACATGGAAAAATTGCACAAATATTCAGTACTATCAAATTAGTTTCTTTGTGCCATTCAAATGAAGTTGGCTCAAGAAGAAATGCTTCTGACCTGTATTCAACAGGTGTTTAGTTCAAATCCTGGAAGACTTTTCATGATTTTCCTCAATTCCCCCAGGCAAATGCTGGGAATAATACATCAATTTAAACCATGATTGCTTACTTACAAATCCTTTTCACTTCACTGTTCAATATCATCAGTCATTCCCTGCTGTATAGGCTGAGGTGACAGCACCGTCCAATTAACTAAAAATAAATAAATTGTTGTACCTACCACCAAACACAGGACTATATTATGATCAATCAAACTGACTCACAGACACAAACAGAAGAAACAGAGATTAAGATGATGCAATTGTTAAAAAACATCATTTCAGGATTAGCTACTTTACTGCCTGGTAAGGTAAAAGGTCAAGCTATCCCTATGCTTGACTAATTAAGCACTACACCATGAAGACATATAAGCAAGTGAATGTATAGATGCACACTTTCTTGACCTCAGCACTAGTTGGGGGTGCGTGGTCAGCTTCACACCCTGGCCGCTTTACCCCTGGGGAAAGAGCCCCCCTAGTACCCACTGGAGAGGAGGTTGGGTGGGCCTCAGAGCCAGTCTGGATGACATGCAGAAAAAAAAATTCTTGATCCCACCAGATTTGAACTCTGACCTCTTGGTCATCCAGGCCATAGCCAGTCACTATACTGACTATGCTATCCTGGATCCTTAATGTCTTGTAGCGGAAGATTCAACACTGTGCTGAAGTCTGCCAATCAGCACACCCCTGGGTTGGTTAAATCTAACTACCACCCTCACAATCTATTTTCCTGAGATTCATCTCAATATTATCCTTCCACTGCCTTCGGTTTCCAAGTGGCTGTATCTCAATAGGTTATCCCACCAAAATCGTGTGCATTTACAGAGTTAGTAGAGAGTCCGTCGAGTGTAACAATTTGTAGGTCACTTTTTTAATATCACTTCTGCCTTACATGTTTCAGTTTGATACAACCATCATCAGAGGCACTTGCTATAACTATGGAAACACTGTCGTTGTTTATGATGTTCACAGTTATGTTTGTCGTGTAGACGCTGCTACAATATGCTGACGTGTAAAAGCACAAAACTTACTAAGATAGTTGAGTACACTATCAAGTTCTCACTTTTCATCCGAAAGTGTTTTAAGTTAAAACGCTAAATGTTAAAATATTTAATCTAAAATGCTGAATTCCTCCTTGTTAGTTCATCCCGAAGATGGGAGACGTCAGCTTGAAGTTGTATGGCTTATGGTTCGATGTTTCTTATGTGCTGTGTGTTGTGTA